TTATACAATTTCTGCATGTGAGAAAGAACTTTGCAGATTATGGAAAAAATGTAAATGGGGGGAATTAATTAACACTTATCAGTCATTATCTTTCAGTGTCAACAGTAATCATAAAACATTATACTGAATATAAGGATATTAAGGAACTATTCTCAGCTTGGGGAACCAACTTTCTCCCTCTCAAGTATTATCACATCAGAGCTCTCTTCTGTAGTACAAGTGTGGGCTTTTGCCCAGGATATATTTCTAGAGGTGGCAAACATGTATTCATAACTTGTGCTCGGACTGTTGGCTAGAGAAGGGATGCTTGAAAGCTATATATTACTAAGAAGGATTCCAAGCAATCATTAACATAAATTATAGAATCCTCTCTTTACTTCAGGGCTAATTTCACAGCAGACAACTGGGAATATTCGCCATGTTATTTGTAAGAATACAGATTGTGGAATTAGCAAGTGAGAAATCTAATAGATTAAAGAAAAAAAAAAGATAATTTAGAGAAAATGTAATTTATTCCATAAATTAGGAGTTTTTACTTTTTCTAAATGTAATTCTATTTCAAGGTCCATCTTTTTTAAAATATGTATTTATTTATGTATCTTTAGTTTTAGGTGGATACATTAGTTTGTTTTTATGTGGTGCTGAGGATCCAACCTCATGCATGCTAGGCGATCATTCCACCACTCAGCCACCACCCCAGCCCTCAAGGTCCGTCTTTAAAAAATACATTACATACCTTGCTATGCCAAGGTGTCATACTATATTAACTAGCAGGAATGCTGTTGCTGGTCTACACACTGGGGGTGTGGGAGTGTCCTCTGTTTCTTTGAAAAGACATGTTTGATCTTCTTTCATATAACTTAAATTCAATAAAAAATGCTTCAAGGAATAGTATAAAATCTTTTTCCACTGATACCCTTATATAATTAAAGGTCTTTGGGGTACATATGGTGTAAAAACTGGTTCATGCATGTACTTTAACCCTTTACAAATAATCCTAAAACCTCAGAATTTTTTGAGCTCTTCTTGTAACACTGATCATAGAATTAAGAATCTTCAGGTTTAAAGGCCCCATTTAGTTATCTCCATGGTTCTCATACCCGACTCACCATTCAACTTCACCTAGGGAGCTTCAAAAAATAAATTCTTTGTCTGAAAGCAACCCTACTGAATCGAATTAACCAGAAATAGTGTAAGAATTTTTTCCAGTGTTTTTCAGGGGATTCATATGAGATGACAGGTTTAGGGCTCATGGATTCAGAATAAAGGCAACCAAAGTTGGTGGCATTTTATCTATAAGTATATTGAGAAATGGAAATACTACTAGGTCCATATATAATGTGTATTTGGAACTAACAACTCTGCTATGACATAGTTTTAAATGTCTTTTCCCCACAAAACAAAACCATAGGCTTCACCTAGACTCACCTTAGAAACTGTGATATCCATCATTGCTCTCTTCCTTTATCAGGTATTAAAAATGTTAAGGAGTTATATTTATTTCCCAGGCACTTTTTCTCTACAGTAACGCAAATTTCTTAACCTTCTTTCCTAGTTCCTATTTTCTCAATTCTTAATGGTTTTAGAACTTCTCAGGAATCTACTTTATCCAAATATGAAGATGTGGATACCAATAGCAGGCAAAGTCTGAGAAGAATAGGTTGACTAATGGCTAGTCTTCCTGAAGAACCATTTCAAATATCAAGAAATTAAACTTTGCTGTTTCAATTTTGGTGGGCCATTAAAGCATATAATTAATACTACATATGCATTTTACTGTCAATCCAGGTCTTACAAGAATATAATATGACTGCCATTATTTTTTTTAAAGAGTAACACTTTTAAATGTGGACTTTCACATCTTACTTTAAAAAAAATAGTATCTAAGCATATATATATATATATAAAACCATATGCCTAATTGTCTGAGAGTTAATTGGACCATTGTGATCAGAAATATTTGATTTGAGCAGTGTGTGGTATCTCAAGCCTGCAATCCCTGCTACTGGGAGGCTGAAGTAGGGAAATCTCAAGTTTAAAGTCAATCTGGGCAATTTAGGGAAACCTGGTCTAAAAAAAAAAAGATTAAAAGGGGCTGGGGAAGTAGCTCAGTGGTAGAGAGCTTGCCTAGCATGTGCAAGTGTCTGGGTTCAATCCCAAATAAATAAATAAATAAATAAAATGATTGGTTGACATAATGATACCCTTGCATACCTAATTTCTAACAATTAAAATATGTAGTCACAAGAACATTTAACTAATCATGAGTGCAGCCCCCCAAAAAAGAGAAATAATGTTTATGCTAATTTGCTGAATATATCTAATATACCAAAATCTAAACCAACCCTAATTTTTCTACTGAAAATTTTTTTCTTTTCTTAACCCAAATCAACTAACGAACCAGCTGGAACTGGAAAAAAATAAAACTTACATAGTTTCTAAAACTGAAATACCAATACAGAGCAAAACTGAAATATCAAAACATCTGCTGCACTTACTGAATTGGCTGAAACTTTATTTGGTGTAATTTCTTAGCTCAAACAGCTAATGTAGATACAGCTATATTTTGTCTGGCTCAATAGACAAGTTAATTCACCGGGAGTGCAGGAACAGAGGCTCTTAATAAAAAATCACCTGGCTTTAACTAGTTAATGGGTGAATTAATGCAGATTCCTCCTGAATATGTTGTATAGGATAAATATGTCTGTTTATCCTTTGTCTTGAATATACACATGCAGATATATGATGTTAACTACATTGACTATTGCCTAACACCATTTAGTTTTATGAATTATCCTATTAGTTCATCGTAAATTTCTTTTACTTTGTGGCAACACAGTGTAACTATTTATAGTTTTCTAATCAGAAAATATTATGTGGAACAATATTTAAATTAACTCAGTAGATTGATCCCCTGATATTTTCAAGCTGAAGTTCACTCAAATTATATATATATATATATATATATATAGAGAGAGAGAGAGAGAGAGATAAAAATATATATATATATATATATATATATATATATATATATATATATATATAGTTTATATAGTCATTTTAATATTTCAAGCAGTTTCACTTTTATTATTTCATTTAGTTTTCATCATCTTTTTTTTTTTCTTTTGTGGTGCTGGGGATTGAACCCAGGGCATTGTGCATGCAAGGCAAACACTCTACCAACTGAGATATATCACCCAGCCCCTAATCTTCTTGTTTTTAACAAGGTATTTTTACATATTATATGTTTAAAATTCTCCCACCCTGGAAGCCACAAAAAGTGTTCAAATATTTAACCCAACATTTCTCACATTCCCTTTTCCAGTTTTTTCTTATTTATGTTCATAATGAACACTTACCAGTTTTGTTCCTGTGTCATCATTCAATATTTAAGTTCCTTACTATGTGCAAGAGTCCTTGCCAGATACTCAGGGGAATATAAATAGTAGAAAGCCTTTTTTTTTTTTTTTTCTGTCTGGATGTTTGTATTCTAGTAAATAAATACATATTGTTCTAAATAGATTTTATTTTCACCTTATAATATGCATTTACTCCCTTGTTAGCCCATAATCATCAGAATCTTGGTTTCATGTTCTTTTCTCTTGACCAGGAATTACCTGAAGTTAGAGACTAATTTCAGGATCCTAGCAAGGACCTCAGTGTTGGGCATATGCTAGATACTTGATGTCTCATGTCACTCCCTTTTAAATATTTTTTAAGTTCTCCTTATTGTCATAAAGATAGAAATTAACCCCCTCAGTGTATAGTATATGTAGACCTATTGTAATTTGAGTCTGTATTGTCCTGTATGCTAGCCCCTGGCAACATGTGTTGAGCTCTGGAAATAAAATTAGTTGGAACTTAGATGTTCTATAAAATACACACAGGATTTCCATAATATGGTATGAAAATGATGTAAAAAGTTCTCATTTTCATATCAATTACATGTTGAAATAATATTTTGGCTATGTTAAATTGAATACAATTTATTAATAAAATGTACCTTTTTTCAGGGCATGATAGCACATGCCTGTAATCCCAGTGGCTCCAGAGGCTGAGACAGGAGGACTGCAAGTTCAAAGCCAGCCTCAGCAACTTACAGAGGCCCTAAGCAACTCAGTGAGACCATGTCTCAAAATGAGACAAAAAAAATACGAAAAAAAAAAAAAATAAGACTGGGGATGTGGCTCAGTGGTTAAGCACCCCTAGGTTTAGTCCCTTGTACCAAAAAAGAAAAGTACATTTTTGCCCTTTTAAAAGGGTGGTTATTTGAAAATTTAAAATTACATGTGACTCACATTTATGAACCCTGTTTCCATCCTAAAAAAACTATACTTTCTTCCCAAAGTGCATGGTATATATTTTTCTTCAATAGCTTTGCATATCTTCTTGGCAGGCTCTCTCCTCTTAACATAACCTATTGGCAAAGGCCCACCCACTGTGCTCCTCCTGCAACAATTCCCTCCCAACACCTGCTTTAGATGCTTGTGTCCATCATACCACATCATTCTTTGTTAAGCTTTACCTGACCATACTGTATTATACTTCTTGGTTTACTTACCTTTTAAGGCCAATACTGATTCTGTCTGAATCTCCTGTATTTGAAATATGGAAGGAATTCAAGGAGGAACTAGCTGGGTGTATGGAAAATCTATAGGGAAAACTCTATAGACTGCCTTCCCTGCATCCAGGTACCTAACCTAAACATCCCACCCTAGAAAAAGTAAAAATAAAAGGTACCTTGCTGGCCCCAAATTCTTCCACTCCCCTCACCAAAACAAAGAAAACATCAACTCAAAATAGAAGCCACTCAGAAATAAAACTAGTAAACATTTATTTTATAAAAAACACTAATTTTCTAAATGAAAGTCTCAAGTCCTTGTGTTCTTGCATGGTAGTTCCAATGCCAAAAGGTCATGGGGAAAAAGTTGGTACTTGAAAAACAGACGGAAATCAGTTGAAGAAGAAATAATGATAAGTCTGATTAAACAGTTATTCAGTCATTTCAATTGAATAATGCAACGTTTCATTCCAGGAGTGAGTGGTTCTTTGATGGCAGCTTCATCCTTAGGCTTCAGAATGACCAATACTGGAAACCATTACCAAAAGAAGTAGCTTGGTTTATTTGCATATTATAATTAGTGAATGCATGTCCTAATCCATAAGTTCCATAGTTGTAGCCAAAAAAACAATCTCCACCATAACCATGAAAACTAGGTTGATTATTGTACACATTATGGAAATTACCATAAGGGAAATTAAATCCTTCTGTGTAGACAGTGAAAGGAACAGGAACAATCACCGAAGGAAAGCTTCTTCCACTGCCAGGCACGCCCCAAATATTTCGGTTTACTCCAAAAATATTTTGGGTCAACCCAAAACCATTTTGATTTACTCCAAAAACATTCTGGTTTGCTCCGAAAACATTGTAGTTTGTATTCTGGTTTGCTCGGAAAACATTTTGCTTTGCCCTGCGAGCACCTAGGTTTGCTCTGTGAGCATTGGGGTTGGCTTGGAAGCCACCACGTCTTCTCCAACCCAGAGCTGGGAGTATTTCTTCCCACCTTTCGCTGGGGCCGGGGACGCTCTCTGGGAAGTGCCATCTTAACTTCACACCGGCTGGAGCCAATGCGATGGAATCTGGTTTCTAACAGCTTCCTCACTGGGATTTCATCGGTATATGTGATAAAGCCAAAAGCTCGTCTTCGGTTTTTCCTTGGGCACATTGGAAGCTCAATATTCACGATCTCTCCAAATGTGCCGAAATATTCTCTAATTTTTTCTTCAGGCATGCGAGGGTTCAACCCACCCACGAAAACCTTTTTTGGGGATGATTGAGGTTCCATGGCTTTAGCTCTCTTAAGCTCTATTTTCTTGCCATCCAATAGGTGCTCTTTCACTTGGAGCACCTTTTCAACAGTGGCACTATCTTGGAAAAGCACAAAACCAAAACCCCTGGATAGTCCAGTGTCTGGATTAGTTTTAATCACAAAATCTATGATCTCGCCAAACTGAGATAAGTATTTGATCAGCACTCGCTTACTCGTATCACGGGAGAGTCCGCCGATGAACATTTTACAGGCATCTTGTTGAGTCTTGCTGGCTTCGATTCTGAAACCTTCAGGGAGTTCCCTTTCATCGAATTTGCTCACGGCAAAGTTTGCGGCATCCATGGCGGAGAGGCTGGCAGTGATTCTACAGTTGGCAAAAAGCATGGCTGATGCCCAACTGGTGAAGAAGGGGAATATGGGAATTGGCGGGGAAAGGTGACGAAACCAACGTAGTGACGTAGGCTAGTGACATGAACACAATGCCCCCCAGGTATTTTCTGAACTTCAAAATGGTGTCCAGGGAGAATGCATGATTGACAGGAATTGTTCTTGCCCCATAAAACTAGGCTTGCTTCCAGGCTTGGTTTTTGTGCTCTTAGCCTTAGAAAGGGAAACTTTGTTACAGGGACAGCAACACATGGTCTTGATCAATATCTTTAGGTTATCTCTCTTTGAAGTTTTATTAAAACCTTTTATTCTTTCCAGATGGTGCCTTGCACATCCAAACGGTGGCTTGTTCATTACATTCCTTAGGTAGTTTTCACATTTCTTTGAAGTATTTGGGGGCAGAGATGGGAAAGGAGGTAAGAGAATTGAAACGTTTTATACTGGGAAAGCAAAAATGCTATGAATTTGTATGTTATGCTAAAGGGATCTAAAAGAACAACTTTTAATAGCAGCATTGTTGATATTAATTTGTTTACCACACAATTCACCCTTCTAATATTTTAAAGTATATGTTCAGAGTTGTACAATCATCACCACATTCCAATTTTAGAATATGTATGCTCTCCTCCAAAGAAAATCTGCACTCCGTTAAGTAGTCATTCACATTTCTCCTGAATCCTTCCAACCACACAGTACATGGCTTTTTCTTCCTAATGTCTTTCACTACTCTGTTTTCAAGGTTTGTGTATGTTGTTGTAGTGTATGTTACTATTTTATCCTTTTTAATGGAGAAATGTTATTCCATCAAATGGCTGTACTGCATTTAGAAATAAAATAGAGAAATACCATTTCTCTAAAATAACATACACCAACTTTGATTTTGTTATATTATTATATATTTGCATCATAAAAATAGTATGGGGATTATCTGGAATTTCTCATTTCCAATATGGTCAGAGAGTGCAGATGTCATAATTGTGTATACTACTGAGATGGTATTTAATGCTACCTTAACCTCTCCTTGTGTCTGAAGATCAAAGCTAAAATCTAAATGCTTAGTTTGGCTACTTCCATCCTCTGACATTAACCACTGAATATAATCAAGTAATTTGTGTGTATATCTCCCTCCTTCAAATATTATTTCTTTTCAGGAAAGGGTTTTTCTAATTGTTCCACAGAGTTCCCCACAGGCTTTGTACATAGTTGCCCTCAAGGAATTTATGCAATTATTTATTTTTAAGCCAGCAATCCTCCTGTTAGTAATAAGGCCGACGTATCTCTCTCTAAGAACATACTGAGCATAATTTGGAGATAACAGAAAGTGGGCTACATTTTAAATACAATGGCAGGGTTTGACATTTGTGGTGGACAACATTGCAGCCTCCCATGCTGGGCTCACTGAGCAGAAGTTCTGGCAGGTGATTCCTTCACCAGCTTCAGGGCAAGTTCCACAATCCTATGTGGACTGGAAAATATTGCCTGAGCTAAAGAAACTGAAAACTGGCCTATGAATATGCAAATGAGAGACTATGGATCACTTTGCCCACAAAGAATGCCATTTAGGAAGTAGCTGTTGAAAAAAAATATTAAACTTATTATCCACAAAAAAATAGTAGGGATCCCAGATTTCCACAGAATTTATTTATTTCTTGTCTATAGTTTTCCTAGGAAACCTTAAAAATGACAGCTAATAACATATTGTATCTTCACGGATCACAGAGGGTTATTAAAAAAAAAAAGAAAAGAAAAAAATGCTTCCTTTCTTCCAGGATACTTGCAATCTTTTAGAATCAGTAATCCATGTTATGACGTCCTGTTTACGTGGTATAAAGCAGTGCTGGAGGCTTAGTCATTTCATCTTCTATCATTTAGCAGACCATGTGCAACTTTTTCTTGGGTCCAGTGACCAGTATAGTGAATCAGCTCCTGAACCTACTTAGCTTTTAGGGGTGCCAGTCGAAGCAAGAAGAGATTTTTCACCTAATGTGGTGGTGCACACCTATAATCCCAGCAGTTGGACAGGCTGAGGCAGGAGGATTGCAAGTTCAAGGCCATACTCAGCAACTTAGTGAGACCGTCTAAAAAAAAAAGACCTGAGGTTGTAGCTCAGTGGTAGAGCACCCCTGGGTTTAATCCACAGGATCACAATAAATAAATGAATAAGCCTGGAGATGTAGCTTATTGGTAGAGTGCCCATTGGTTCAAACTCCAGCACCAAATAAAGAGAGAGAGAGAGAGAGAGAGAGAGAGAGAGAGAGAGAGAGAGAGATTGAGATTTCTAATAAAAACTGTAGTTTTTTATAGAGGCTTGTTACAGATGTCTAGTATCCCTGATGATGTCTACAGTTAAATTACTTTTAAATTTTAAATGAAGACATTTAGATGTTTCATTCTATCAAAAATTATGTTTTATTTTTGATTTAATAAACATACTTGTCCCATACATGGTACAAAGAGTGCGATAATAATAATATATATTTTGTGAAAATTTTAAAAATTAAAAAGTGACAACAGTTGATGATGTTGAACCATAGGGAAAATGAGTTGTTTCACAAAGGTAAAACTAAAACCTTTAGCAAAATAATCCCTTATACTTCAATTATAAACACTTTGAAGCCCAGTTGCCTCCTCATTTTCGATGTTCATCCTTATCCTTGTGCTTTTGTTCATTCTGAATATTCTTCCCCAGATACCTTTGTTTTCTCTTCATCCATCCCTTTCCTATATTCCATCTCCCTAACTTGTTTCCTTGAAGAGCCTCTATTTTGTGAACCTGTGACATCCATTCTATACATGTTCATCAAGTTTTCATCAAGGTACTTGTCTGTGTCTTCCCTCCCGCACTGGTCAGCAAGCTTCTTAGACACTGATCCATACCAAACTTAAAGGTCTCCACATTTGTCATAATTCATAATATCTTTTTTTAATATTCATTTTTTTAGTTGTAGTTGGACACGATACCTTTATTTTATTTCTTTATTTTTATGTGGTGCTGAGGATCAAACCCTGGGCCTCACATATGCTAGGCAAGTGTTTTACCGCTGAGCCACAACCCCAGCCCAATACATAACATCTTTTTAAAAGGAACTTACTGAATGCTTATTGAAACTAAATACTGGAGTTCTGAGTTCTGAAGGCCACATTTTTTTTTAAATGCTTGGTCTCATTGACCTTTGGGAGAATTAGTCAGTTGCAGATTACTTCCTGAGTGCCGATCGGCTACAATTTGGGAGAGGTGACTTATCTTTCCTAAGTTAGTACAAGCCTATGAAAAGAGGCTGCAAGTTTGATTTTTTTTCCGGGTCATTTCTAAACCAACTGAGACAACCACAGAGTAGTCAGATCTCCATTCGATGGCTGCTTTTACTAGAATGAAAATCTTAGGGGAATTATCTACTCTCTGCATGTTTATAGATTAATGATGTACCTGAATGACTTGTTATTTACCTGTGGCGTGTTTACCTAATTAGGCCATGGCTGACATTGCAGTTTTGACCTCTTTGTGGGCTGGTTAGTTTTCTTCCATATGTGGCTTACAGGTTGTGCCCCTTCGCCCAGTCCTAGGCCTTGCACATATGTGCTCTAGGTCACAAGGGGCTACTGAGTCTGAACATGTCAATGAATCAGTGAAACAACTATCCTCCCTTCTGGATACACAATTTAAAGCACTTAACCTACTGATCTTGGGTCATTAGTATCATCTTGGTACATGAAAGACAGCACATTATTACTGTAATTACTTTTGAGGCAGTAAAAAGGAACATTTTTGAAAAGACCATGTCTGCTTTTGGTCCCCTAATGAAAATAATTATGCTTGCTGAAGTTCTCTCCCCCCACACACACAAACACACACTGATATTTAGCTATTTAAAATATTTTGAAATAACTCCTTTTCAATGTAATGTCTGAAAGACTGAAGAAATTAAAATCTGTGCTGTTTAGTTTTCTATAGCAATTGTGCCACAGCTTAATATATTTTGGTATTAAAATATTGTCATTAGATTCCTAATGTTAGCTTTCCTTGTGGAACAGTACATTTACAATAATTCTGACTAGTAATTTATTCTTATTCCTTATTAAATCAAAACACATATATTGGAGATTTGAATTGAAGTCACTGGAGATTTCTTCACTGAGAAATGAATAAATGAGTGAATGGATGTTAGGCTCCCAGACAGTTACCAAAGGTATTTTACAAATGTGAAATGCCTATAGAAAACAAACAGTGTAAATCAAAGGACAAAAGGCACAGAAGCTAGGGGCATAAAATAAGAATTTTCTGTTGCTGGGGAATGGGGGACTAAGTGCTGCAGTACATGCAGGCTATCAAAATTTTTGTATTTTGGGGAACTTGGGATACCTGATTTGGGTTTATTTTACTGTGATCTAGATTATGCCTGCAATATTCAAAGCTCTTAATTTGATTATTCCTTGGACATTGGTATCTCATTCATAATTGTTGGAGAATGGGGGATAAGATGAAGGATGACATATGCCTTTAGAATTAATCTGCCTTTCTTATCATGGGACTCAACCTTGGCAGAAGGATGCTGTGAGACCCATAAATCAGAAAAGTAACCTGTATGTATCCTGATTTGATATTCTGGCATAGAGCTGTCTCTGTGGTAATATGTTCTTTAATGCTCTGTTGAACCTGTTCTCTTTAGTGAAATGAAAATGCATGTGTTTGACATACTTGGTCTAGTTGGTTGTTTGATGAAATGAGATTTTCCTTACTCTTTTTCCTCTTCATTTTCCACAGAAACTGCCAGTGCCCATTACTTAAATTAAGTTGAGAGTGCTAGCAGATAGTTTGAAAAATGATCATTTAGGAAATACTGTTCTCTACTAACTTTGAGTGTATCCAAATAGTGATCTAACTGAATGTAGTACATTGGACAGAGACTAAAAATTAATTTGACATCAAAAGTTTTTAGCCACTGAATCTGGCTGCT